TGGCCAATCTAGACGCGCTTTTCCGCACAAAAGCCCCGATCGCCATTTTCGCGATCGGGGCTTTTGTGCGGAAAAGAAATCTCTGCTGTCTACACTGTCCCTTTTGCGCAAAAGTCTTTCGGAAAAATACTTTTGCCCAAACGGGAGCAGCATAGTTTTTCCGCAAAAGAACTGACAATCTTACATGAGATCATCAGTGCTTTTGCGGAAATTCAAGCGGCCAGTGTAGACAGCTGGCAAGTTTTTCCACAAAATCAAATGATTTTGCGGAAAAAACTTGCCAGTCTAGACATAGCCTAGTTGTATAACACCTAGCACATAGCTAAGAGTCCACAACTCTACTGAGCGATGAGAGTTTTATCACAAATGCATGTTCATCAACCTGCCTTGCCAGCTTACATTCTTGTTGTATCATTCAAGCAAGGTACTAACAAACTTCAACAAGCTTTTATTTAACAAAGGTGAAACCTCTTTACAAAGCTGCTGCTGCACCCCTCTGTAGCTCTCACTCAGCCCTGGCTCATCTCCTCCCTCCCCTTCCTGTTTCCTGTGCTTCCAGACTCCCAGTAGCCAGTGCTCCCAGTTCTAATAATTACAAGCAGCATCTAAAACACTGCATTCCCTCCTCTCTTAAGAAGCTCTCTCAATTATAAAATAAACATTGTTGTTCTAACTACTGTTGGCAGAAAACACTGTAAATACTACATAACATAGTCTCTAGTCCAGACAGGTGGTTGTCTGGGTCTGACAGACAGTCTCTCAAACCCCAGTTCCAGTGCAATGTCTTGTTGTGTTGGTGCTACGGTGAAGTCATACAACGTGGACTGGGTGTTGGCCTCATCTCCTCTTGGTGCATGGGCAGGTGCAAGATAAGAAGCATTTCATACCCACCCATCAGAAAGTCGATAGGTGTGATTTTAAGAGGAAATGTGAATTTATGGTCCCCTTTGCATAAAATTCCAGGTTTTCTTACTCAAACGAAGGAACCACACTCAAACTTTGATTCCTTAGCACCCCGCCATTTGTCTGTGAAAGCCTTATATTTTTCTCGGTTTTGTTCAACTTCTTTTTCTCACATCATCCTTGTCTGGTGCATCAGGTCTTGCCTTTAACAATCCAGCAATGTTCAATTTAGTATTCATCTGTTTTCCATGCAGTAACTCTGTGGGTAATCTTTGCATTGTGGCATGTTGTGTAGCCCTGTATGCTTGCAAAACAATCAGTAGTGAAGGTTATCCACGATCACCCTTCCAGTTTAGCCGTTTCAAACTCTCTTTCAAACTTCTGTTAAACCTTTCTATTTCCACATTGGCGTGAGGGTAATACAGGGATGATCTTCTATGTAAAATGTTCCTCTCTGCTAGAAAAGTTTCAAATTCCAGGAAAGTAAATTGACAACCATTATCTGAAACCAGTTCTTTGGGGTTACCTTCCCTGCTAAAAACTGTAGAGAGGAACTTAATTACTGTAGCAGAAGAGATTTGCGATGTAAATGCTACCTCAGGCCATTTACTGAAATAGTCTAATAAAGTGATGGCATAACGACAGTCAGTTGGAGCAGTATCAAAGGGTCCTACGATGTCAATCGCAACTTTTTCCCATGCAGAATCAGGAAGAGGAACAGGCTGTAATGGTGGGGTACATGTTACTGCTGTCTTATCATGCATTTGGCAGGTGACACAGGATTTTATGAATGCTTCAGTTTGGGAGTCCATCCCTGGCCACCAATACAGATCCCGTAGTCGTTGTTTGGTTCTGACAATTCCTTGATGAGTATCGTGTGCCAGATGTATGAGTTTTGATTGTAATTCTTCTGGCACAAGTAGCCAGTGTGTACCTCATAGCACACAGCCATCAAGCAAAGAAAGTTCATCCCAAACTCTAAAATAAGGCAGCAAAACTGGATCAAGGTTTTTAGGGTTACTGGGCCATCTCTTTGTCAGAAATTCCCATAGCTTTTGTTGAATTGGACAGGCTGAACAAGCAGCTTGGAATTGCTCTCTTGTAACTGCAGTAAGAGTGCTTGTAATGAGCACAACTACTTCATCCTCATCCTCCGGTGGACCACTTGGTGAAGACAAAGGCAGGCGAGAAAGGCAATCAGCTATCACATTTTGGTTTTCATGCTTATATTCCAGTTCATAATTGAAAGAGAGTAGTCTTGCAGACCATCTAGCAATAGGATTCCCTGCTCTTCCCAGTCCTTTTGTGGTTAGCAATGTTGTCAAAGGGTTGTGGTCTGTGCGCAACTTGAATGTGCGGCCCCACAGATAAGTTCTTCATTTTTCAGTAGCCCAGACACAAGCAAGTGCTTCTTTTTCAACTGTAGAATATTTTCTCTCAGCATCACTCAGTGTCCTTGGAGCAAATGCAACAGTTCTCTCCGTGTTGTCCTTATGAAGTTGTGTGAGGACAGCCCCAAGTCCGTAATCAGAAGCATCAGTAGTCACAATTGTGGGCAATGCAGGACTGAATAGTGCAAGTACTGGACTATGTACAATCAAGTCTTTCACAGTTTCCAAACTTGCTTGTGCATCCGTTGTCCACACCAAGGTTGAACGTCTCCATAGTAATTCTCGTAACGGTTCAATGACAGAAGCATAATTGGGAATGAATTTTGCATACCAGGAGGTAAGACCCAAGAAGGAACGTAAGGTTTGCAAGTCTGTTGGAGGAGGAGCATCTGAAATTGCTAGGAAATTGCAGGTTTTAGCCCAGCCACTGAAATTGTGTGCCCCAGAGAGGAGAGTTCTGTTTGTCTAAATTTGCATTTAGACAAATTGAGCTTGAGGCCTGCTGTGCTGATGCAGTTTAGTACAGACTGCAGGTTATTGTCATACTCCTCAGAAGTATTTCCAAACATGATAATATCATCTAGATAGCACTGAACTCCATGTTGATTCTTCAGAATCAATTACATCATTTTTGGAAGGCACTTGGGGCAGATGCAAGACCGTATGGAACACGTTTAAAACTAAATAGTCCCTCGTGTAATAAACGCTGTGAGGTCTCTGCTATCTTCATGCAACATAACCTGGCGGTATGCGCTCTGCAAATCAAGAGTAGAAAACATCTTTGCTCCACAGAATTCTGCAAATATTTCTTCTGCGTGAGGCAGAGGGTGGCTGTCAATCAAAATAGCTTTATTTGGCTCCCTTAAGTCCACACAAAGGCGAATGCCTCCATCCTTCTTCTGTGTCACTACTATAGGTGAAACCCATTCTGAGGAGTCAATCTCTTCAATAGTGTCCTTTTGAACAAGTTTTTTAAGTTCCTCTGAAACAGCTTCCCTGACTGAAAATGGTAAGCGCCGTAAGTTCTGTTGTACAGGCATCACATTATGTCGCATTTTAACTTTATGCACAAACCCATAAGCAGCGCCAAGTTTCTCCTCAACATGGTCTTGGGTCCCAGCTGAAACAGATGTCTATTCTGCAAGAGTGCTTTGCTGAGGAAGATCAATTTGTCCATTTACTACCCTGAGGTTTAAAGCAGCCAATAAATGTCTGCCAAGGATAGGAGTGACTTTGTGAACAATGTAGAACTCTGCAGTTACACAGCAATCACCAAAAGTCACTGTTGCTGGCAGGCAGCCACGTACTGGAATTTGGTTTTTCAAATAGCACACCAAGTGAAGTTTGGATTCAGTACCAGGCACATTTTAAAGTAATGCAACTAGATAGAATCAGGTAGTATAGCTACTGCTGAGCCAGTGTCCAACATTAGCTGAATAGGATATGATTTGCCTGAAGGTGTGGCAGAAACATTTGCAGTGCACCTTATATGTTCTGAGTATGTGCAGTAGTGATTTTGTCTACGCTCAGCACAGTAACATCTGGTATTGTAACTGCATGCACTTGTTGATTGGACTGCCTACTGTGGCATACCTTAGCAAAATGCCCAATCTTTTTGCAGTGATTGCACTGAGCTACTTTTGCAGGACATCTTGCGTAGCTTGCAAGATGTTGTGAGGATCCACTTTTGCAGAAAGTGTAAAATATACGCTGCTCTTCTGCTCCAAGGCAGGGGATTAGCAGAGCACGCTTTCTTACTTCAGAAGTCTCTGTAGCACTGATTGCAAGCAGATAAGTCTCAAACATATGGATCCAGGCAGTAGAAGCAATTGGAGGCTCACCTGGGCTTTGCAGAAAGGGTGCAGGTGGGTTCAGAGGCAGAAGATCCATCCTCATCACCAAAATGTTGTATCATGCAAGCAAGTTACTAACAAACTTCAACAGGCCTTTCTTTAACAAGGGTGAAACCTCTTTATAAAGCTGCTGCTCCTCCCCTCTGTAGCTCTCACTCAGCCCTGGCTCATCTCCACCCTCCTCCTTCCTGTTTCCTGTGCTTCCAGACTCCCAATAGCCAGTGCTCCCAGTTCTAATAATTACAAGCAGCATCTAAAACACCACAATTCTGGTGCATACTCTATGCCACTCTGTCCCTAAGTAGTTTTCTTCTTTTTCAAGACCAGTTTCCCGGGAAGAACTCTCGCAGCTACTGCTCCTGGAGTTTAATTTACACCTTTTTGAAATAACTATAACTTATGAAACTCTGACTGTCACTGGGGGGAAATCAGACTGAAGATTTTTCTTGAATAGTTGGGTTATTATTGTAACTACTTAAAAGGTGACAGGATCTTTTCCTCAGTCATTTCCCTCCCCGCTCCCCATCCCCCGAAGTGCTGAAAATGTCACCCAGTGAAACGCAAGATCAGAGTGTCATTTAAGAACATGTCTCATTAGACACTCAGCTCCTGTTATGACCCTGTTAGATTGGTTGCTCCTGAGTTTATGAAAAATGAAATGTGTCACTTTTTCAGAGAAACTTTAACTACATGTTCCTTCCTCATTTAAGAAACGGATGTCAGGCACTTATTAAATTGGTAGGATTTGGCCTACTTCTCATCCAACTCAAATACTAGAGACCTAAAGAAAAAAGACAATTGTTGAAAGCAATCTTTTTCTTTTTTAACAAGCAGCATTTGTCATGCCTTGCAGACTTTTGAAGGCAACACCAACTATGATACACCAGAGCTACGGACTTTTGAACCTATAACAACCAGATTTGTTCGCGTCTATCCTGAGAGAGCCACACATGGAGGACTGGGACTGAGAATGGAACTACTGGGCTGTGAATTTGAAGGTAATTGCTCTGACAGAGATGAATGCATTGTATTAATTATTTTCATACAGATACACTCTGGCTTGGACTACTGCTGAGCCCAGTTGCTCCCATAGGAAGAGCAAGCGGGACTCTTGCTTCAGTGACTGCCATTAGTGCTGGTTTTTGACCCAGTCAGTGTCCTCACTGAGGACATTTAAATATGTTTGGGGCACTAAATATTCTTTCCACAATTCCTTTTGTGAAGCCTAGTGATGGTCTCGCTGTATAGGGTCTTCTCTTCCTTTAAGTGATCTCAGGATTACTTGTCTATTACACTAAATGGACAGGCAGCATTTTTCAGAGAGACCAAAGATGCTTCCCTTATCCCCCAAAGGGGTTTGCAATCAAAGTAAGCTATATGATATGACACAGGAAGAGTAGGCTTCTAAGAAAGCGGAGATGGATTTACACAATCAGATGCTGAGGACACTTGTTTCTGCAAGGTGAACATCATGTTACCCACTGTGGTAGGTTTGATAGGTTGGATGAGTGGCTGTTATTGGTTTTGTGTTTGTTTTTTTGCTAACCAAGGCCCCAGTTCTGCATCAGGAATTTAGAAGATAGAAGGCTAGTCCAAGCAAAATTGAGGGATAAATCCTTCAAACATGCCCTGCAGTATCACAATGGCTTTATTTCTATGACCAGTTGTTATTGAAAATAGCAATAGTCCAGAATAGATAAAACTTTGAATCAAGTTCCCTTTGCTGACTATGCTGAGCCAGCAAATAGCACCTGGCATAGCTACACACTCCCTTTATAAAATCTAAATCTTAAGGTTAAACAGTGCGTCTGGTGTCTAAGTTTTGTGATTTCCCAGTTATTATCCCTGTTTATTTGGTGTGCATTGGGTCTTAGATACATTTCTGGCACCTTGCACAAATCGCAGCTCTTAATCAAAGAAACAAAAGCTCAGACCTTTAATGGATAGGCAACACCTACCAGAATAGTATCACCCGCCATAAGCAAGTCAGGTGGCCAGCAGGGATTGCTGACATCATTAATGTATCGTATTTACATATATCTTTAAAACAATAATTCTCAGATCTAAAAACTGAGCAATAGCATTGAAAGTGATGCTTTACTGTCACTGTTATCCTGCCTGTATTTAGATGGTTCCTCTCCCACATGCACTCTGGTGGGAGCTCCCCATTTTTAATGTTTATTTGTGCAAACAACAAAATGACACTTAAAACAGTAATCAGAAGAGTGAATTAACATTTATTTTAAAATGTCAAGGATTAATATGTGCTAAGAAAACTTTATTGCAGGGCTACTCAACATGTGGCCTGCAGCCCATTTGTGTGCCTGCAGTGCAGTTTGGGTTTATGCAGGGCGCAACACACGACTCGCGGGTGGGATCCTTTGAACATGACCTCCACTGGGAACAGGCTCCATAATGGCAGTTCAATATAATGATATTCTGTTGATATGCACTTTAGTAGTTAAAATCTTGGACTGTCATTGCTCATTAAAAGTGCTGTCATATGGGTGGAAATCGGGTAAATATTGCATTTTATTAATATCCTCAGAACTGAATTAAATGGGTATTGTGTTGTATAGTCTTGCCTTAATCTTTGTGCAGCCGGTCCCCGAGTTGCAAACGGTCGACTTACAACCATTCGCAGTTACGACCAAAGCTGTCATAAATGGCGGACCCGGAGTTACAAACGTGATCTGCGCTTACGAACAGCATGGTCGCGTGTAACTCAATGGGGTCAAACTTACGAATAAACCAAGTTACGACCAATTGCTTGGTCCGTAACCTGTTTGTAAGTCAGAGAAAAGCTGTATTCATGCCCATCAGTGTCAAATAAGCTATTTGCATGTATATTAGCATGTATATGCAACTTAAGTTGCGGCCCTCACCATGTGCTGTGAGTATCATTGTGGCCCCCGGGGCTTCCAAAGTTGAGTAAGCGCTGCTTTATTGCATAGAATTTAGGAAAGGAGGACTAACTCCAGATCAGCATAATTCTAAACATCAAACTGTGTCATAACTGATGCTGGAGCTAAATGGGAACAAGGGATCCTGAAGATAAATCCTATGATCAAGCTAGGGCAGGATCCTGCTGGAGAGTCCTGCTGGGAACTCATGGAGGAGCACATTTAGCTGCTGCACAGAAAAAGAGCCAAATGCCCCCCAGACTAACACATGCCGCTGGTGATGTGTATGTGCTCGGACAGCAGAGTCCTGGGCCTGCCTCTCTAATGAGAAATCATGCATGGCTGTGGTGCATAGGCCTACACGGCAGTGGCCTCTCCTGAAAGTGAAGTGAATACTCTGTGGGAAAAGGGCTTCTCCCTCTTCCCCTTTCTTCCCCTTCACACAGGCTTCTGCACATGCCCATGTTCCACTGCACAAAGCAACTTAATATGGCCCAGAGCAAAGCCTCTAGTGAACTATGTGAGTATGCACCAGTCATGCTGCTCCTTTTCAGCACATTCCCTCTCACTGCTGCATCCACCAACACCCTGCTCTGTAGGAAAAGGTTGGCTCTTGTACCAAATACAACATTTCCTCTGGTCCCCTCCTGTGTGTCCTGCCCTCTACTCTGCCAAGGTTTCACCCTTCTTTAATAGGAGCATATCACTCATCAAATTGTAAATAATAGAAGGATGTTGCTATGATTAAATCCCTCATTCCCTTCCAGCACTTCAGATCAAACACTCTTAATGAGAGGTGAAAGAGGGAGGCATGAACAGATCATAGCAAGGAAACTCAGGGGGATTTTTTTCACCTACCATAGCACGTGGCACAATATTCTTTGTTCATCAATATCGCACATCTTAGATTATGACAGGTCTCCGGAACACATTTTAATTGAGTAACCCTGGGATTTTGTTTCAGCACCTACATCAGTCCCTACCACTACAGAGGGCAATCCTGTGGATGAGTGTGATGATGACCAGGCAAACTGTCACAGCGGAACAGGTGATGACTACCAACTGACAGGTGCAGAAACCATCCTCATTCCATTGCAGCCTCATTTTAGATTATCTTGATCACCAATTACCAGCTAACTGTCTGTCTTGATTGAATCACTCATGTTAAATGGACATTGGTATGCAGTTTCTATTGTCTGCACTGTCACAACAGAGGCATCTGCAGTTTATATGTGACAATACTTTTGATTGTTTTCTCCACTGTGTAATTTTTGAGGCAAACAATAGTGATTAGCAGGCAGATAGGGCATTTTTGGACCAAGAATTGCATTTAATCAAATGCCCTATTTAACTTTCCCTCAGGAAAAAAAAAATCCCAGACTGACCTTTAGAAGGAGGTTTATTCTGACTTTAAGGGGAGCCCACAATGAGGGTAGAGCATCAAGAGGCCTATTTTCACACTTCTTTTGTACTCTTGTCATCTAGGCAGGATTCCCCGTACAGCTGCTGCCCTTTCCAAGGAGGCCATTGGGTAAATAAACTCACACACAGAGATCCACCTTCTCCACCGCCCTTCCAACACAGTCATACAGAAGGTGACATGCCCCACCAGCATGGAGATTGGTGGGCTAATATAGGAATAGATGGGATGTTTATGTTTCTTTTTTTATCTTGTGCATAGAGCCCTCTTCTCTTGGCAAAAGTTGGCCCTTAGGTATTTTTCTGGGGCTTACATATCCCAGAGGATTATGTGACTGATTTATTGGAATAGGCCCTCAGGTAGCAGAAATGTACATCTGCACTAACAGGACTAATTTTCATACAAACTGATATAAGCTATTTCACTATCATTCCCTTTTATGATTCGCCTACTAAATGTACATTGTGTCCTATATCCTTGGGGTTGAGAGCACTTTGGATAACCGTAAATAGTGGGAGCCCCTGTAAACGAGAAAAGATGTAAAAACCTGCACTTTCAGCATACAGCTCCTTCTGAGCCTTCACTGTATTTCCTGTAAACACTAGTTGTAAACATAAGGTTTTATTTATAGTTTAAAAAATACAGCTCATCTGAGAAGTGACACTGCACAGTCACAGTCCCTGCTTTTCAAATCACAGAATCCCAGCTGATTTTTATTCTTTTGAAAATAGACAAAGCAGTGAATCTGAAATAAAAAAATACTGTCTGACTGCTAAGTAGTTCAGAAAGCTTTCAGCATCAATAAACCTTTGCAAACACATATCTCCAGAGCTGATTCAAACAAATCTGTGGCCTTCTGTGAAGACATTCCATTGGGACCCCTAGTTGCTAAGCTCACAATTTAGGAGCAGACCGTGAGTGACACAGGTGCCCAGTCTGTGCACTGAGGGAAAGAAGGAATGACCAAAAACAGACTCCTTGTTCAATCCCAGTAATATACAGTCCCTGCTCTCCAGGGAGCAAGGAACTGCAAGCCAATATACCTCTCAGGGCAGAAGGGTATGAAGTCATGGCCCCAACCATCCACACTGGCCAGCAGGGAGCAGTCAGTACCATCCAACACAAAGATGCAGCTTTCTGTCTTCCCTAAAGTGCCAGGCCACTGCAGGGAGGGAACAGAATTAGGTCTCCTGGTTCCCAGTCCAGTGTCCTATTTCCACTGCCCTGTACTGCCTTTTTATATACAACTTTTTCAATAAAGCTTTCAGTAAAAGAGTTCTTGTGCAAGAAGCTGCCAGTGTAGACATAGCCTCAGATTCTAGCTCAAAACCAGCTGAGCTGAGTTTTGAGGTGAACACTTCTCACAATTTAGGTGTAAGACAATGCTGGGGAAGGCTGCTATAGTTGCTGGAAATGTACTTGGTTCCCTAACTGATTTGGGAGGCAGAATAGTATGGATGAGTTAGCACAGAGGTAGGTTTTAGGAAGTTCTTAATCCTAATCCCCAGCTCTACTACTGATTTGCTGTAAATTACTTCATTTCTCTGCTTGATTTTCACCATTCATAAAATGAGGACAATCACAGTGTGTGTTGTGAGCATAAATTAGTGTTTGTAAAGGGTTTCTTAGATATGAAATTCTACATATATGCTGCTTTTATTGTATTTTCTGTAATTCTCTTGCTGGTAAAGGAAACCCAATCTCTCTATATGTATGTGTGTGTGTGATTTATTCATGCATATTCACATATTTATGTGCTTAGCCAGACATACATCTCAGCAATATTTTACATGTATATTTAGAAACTTCCTAATAATCATTGTGCCTTACTGTCCTGTTTCATGTGTTATACCATGTATACTTTATTTTTCAGGTGGTACTACAGTGCTGACTACAGAAAAGCCGACAGTAATAGACAGTACATTACAGCCAGGTAAAAAAATAAATCTTCTCATTAAAAACATAGTAAATTCCTTACCCCATCTCATGCCAAAGACAAAAATAATGAATTGCAGCAGTTCCTGGCTTTCTATTACCTAAAAGTCTCTGAAGTAAAGACGCATCTGGTCTCTGACCTTTGTACAGTAAATATTTAACTCCTTTCATCCACATGTATATGCAGTAGACAACAAGATTTCCTTCTGCAAATGCCTAATGGTAACAATAGTAGTTATAAACTAAACTAACTTAATCACACCACAAATTCCCTTTAAATGCAGCATATGCATGACACAGTGTGTTTGCAAACTCCAAAGGAAAAAACAGACACAAAGCAGATTCACTATTGACATCCTTTGCAATTCTGCAAAGCCAAGACAAAGTTTGCCAGTTTTCTCCACCACAGAGTTGGCAAGCTTACAATATTATTTTCTAGCAAGCACTCTCAAAATGGAGTTATATAAGCTACTACCATAATCTTGCACTAAGAAGAAAGGAACTGTCTCTGGCAGCAAGTCATCTTTCCTTAATCGATACGATAGCTAACAATCTTTCATTTGCCACTCTCCCCTCACTCACTTCATATGCCAGGTTTCAACAGCATTTGAGTTCTGGTCATTTTTAATATCCTGTACAATTTAAAAAAAAACAAACAAACTCCTAAAGTATAAACAGCAATTCTAAATGCTCTGCATTAATAATTGTGGGTTGGGGAGGAGGTCAATGTTCAGTTACTCCCATTTCCTTTAGTAAAGTGCAGCCAGGCACAGTCTCTGATGTAATTTATGAACAGGGTGTGTATGTGTATACACAAGTGTTTCCTCCACAATAAAACACTATCAGGCATTGCTTTAAGCAAAAAAGAATTGTGTTAATAATTAAAATGTTTCTTTAAGGACATTGTTGATCTGATTAAGAAACAAAATTGACTTAGTTTAGAATTAGTTTCTATTCTTAATTTCTGAATTCCCATGCTGCAGCGGTGACAACTTTCCCCTACTTCAGAATGTATGGCTCTTGTCCTAAACATTTGTTAGCATGTATTATTCTGAGAATCACCCTGCTTTTGAGTCCAGGTGGGTGCTCAAGACAGAAAACTCTGTCTCTCTGCTCCTGTACCACCTTCACTGGAGGGAACAACCAGCTTGCAAATAGAGCTAGTCAGTAAAAGCTTGACAAAGCAGCTATCCATCAGAAAGCGCTGTTCTGTCAAAATCAAAACACTTAGTGACATCGTGGCAAAGTTGTCACCATTTTGTTTTTGTAGTTAAAAAAATGGGAGGGGTGGAGGATTCCATAACATCCCATTAGGACATGTTCAGAATAAAACATTTTGCTTTTTCCTTTCTAACATTTTTATTGTCTATTATTTATTGTAACAAAACATTCCAACCAAGCCAACGTGATTGTTTTTTTTACTTTGCTTTCACTGAGAATTTTGATTTTTTTTATTTTGTGCCAAATTGGAATGAGAACAAATTTGGAAATCTCAAAATCCTCCATAAAATGGAATTTCCACTCTGCATACAGCTCCACTTGCAAGTGATGCTGACTCTTGTTGGCATGGTTGGAGTGTTCCATAATATGACTGACTACTTTTGACAAGTACAGGGGAGAGTTTCTCGGGATCTCTTTATTGTCTTTCTGTAATTCCCCTAGCACTGCCTTTACCTGCCTTGTGATGAGCCAGCTTTTTTTCCAGCTAAAGACATTGATCTGAGGCACCCTTTTGAGTTTGCCAATGTTATTTCCCTGCATTGTTCAGTCAGAGTCACTTGTGTCTCCAGGCACTGCTTCCTCCCAGGACATAAGGAATAAATTCTGATCCCAAACTCCAGGTCTCCATGTGGCAACACATTGCAAAGCCTGATAGACAAAGGCATCCAAATAAATTAGTGATGGCCCCTGAAAAATATTGATAAATAAAAACAAAAGTTCCAGAATTTTTGCACTGCTTCAGTGCAAGACATCCTTTTAAAGGGCCAGCCAGCTGAGCATACTCGCTAACACTGGGGAATCCTCTAGTGACATGAAGCCAATATATGTGGGTTTGCACCCATTCCTTCTGTCATAAGGATCAGCATAAGGCAGAAAGGGAATGAGTGAGTTTGGGCAGGACAGGATCAGGCAGAGTATAAGATCCCTAGCCAGATCCCCAGCCTCTGTAGCTGCTGGTTGCAGCAGTGTAATTTAAACTAGCCTTGAAGCCAGTCTAATCTATTCCAGGGACCTTTCTTTGGCCTCTACTGACCATTGGGGAAGTGGCATAGAGACACCTCTCTCCACCTTCTCTCCTCACCTCCCCAAGTGTCAATTCATACATATGACTGAGCCCTCAGATTCAATCCTGGTTCTATTTAAATCAATGCATCTTTTGCCATAGACTACTGGCTATGTCTGAGGCTATGTCTACACTACAGAGTTTTTGCAGAAAAACAGCTGGTTTCTTTCCGCAAAAACTCATGGAGCATCCGCACCTTAAGCGTATAAATCGAAAGATCAGAGCGGCTTTTGCACAATTGGTAATCCTTATTGTATGAGGAAGAACACTTTTTTGCGCAAGAGCTCTTGTGCAAAAAGGCATGTGTGGATGGAGAAGTGGGGGTTTTGAGCAAGAAGAGGGAAGAGAAAAAAGCACAGGTGCCCTGGTGGCCATTCTGTCCATAGCAATCACTGCTTACTTGTGAGAGAACATCCAGGCAGTCTGGACGCTCTCTTGTGCAAAAGTGCATCACTTTTTCGATGTGTTTTTGCAGTGTGGATACTCTCTTGCGCAAGACGTTTTTGCAGAAGATCACTTCTGAAAAAAGCTTATTGCACAAGAAGGTTGCAGTCTAGGCGTAGCATGAGAGTCTTGAGGAAGTTAGAAAAAAGAGTAATATTAAAAATGTTTTAATGTTTGAACTTTCTTAGGAGAAGATCTAAACTGCTTGTAAAACTTGAAAAGTATGGAGCCACCCACACACCTGCCAGTGACAATCCTTCCTTCACTTGACAAATGCTGTTCCTGCACCTTGTCCATCCAGCTTTTTTTAAACATGCTTTTTTCAGTAGCAAGGAATTGATTGGAAGAGTGGCATGCTCAACTCTTCCCTATTTATACATAAACCAAGCTGTGCATTTGCATTATATGTGCTCAGCAGGTGTAACTCAGGAACATCAATACATCTTGGCTGCGTCTAGACTGGCATGATTTTGCGCAAATACTTTTAATAGAAAAGTTTTTCCGTTAAAAGTATTTGCACAAGAGAGCGTCTATCCTGGCATGTGCCTTTGCGCAAAAGATTTGCTTTTGTGGAAAAGCATCTGTGCCAGTGTAGACGCTCTCTTGTGCAAGAAAGCTCCGACGGCCATTTTAGCCATCGGGCTTTCTTGCGCAAGAATACTTGCTTAAGAGGGCTTATCCCTAAGCGGGAGCGTCAGAGTATTTGCTCAAGAAACACTGATTTTGTACATTACAAAGTCAGTGTTCTTGCGCAAATACTCGCAGCCAGTGTAGATAGATGGCAAGATTTTGTGCAAAAGCAGCCGCTTTTGTGCAAAATCATGCCAGTCTGGATGCAGCCCAAATGTTTTGTTTCGTGCAACTCTAAAATCTGGTTTACAGAAGATACTTTAAGGGAAACAATGGGGTTAAAGGCTATGACAATAAATACTTTTAAGATAATGTGTCTGATTCTCTTTAGACTAAAGCAGCTTTACACCACTATAGTACTGTAAAAGAATCTTAAAGTGTGTGAAAATATAATTTACACACAGTTTTAGGCTGCTATACACTGCCAGAATGGTAGAAAGTCCCTTCCTGTAAACGAGAAACAGGTCCATTATGTCAGCATTGGAGTGGTCCAATTCTGTTTATAAATTCCCATTTTAATGTTCAGATACTTCTCATAAACAGTATATATGAAGAGTTTTTCTAGGTCCTGAATGCCAGCCTGATCCTTCTTGCCTCCTGTTTGTGAAACTGTAGAAATATGTCAGGCTGTATCCAAGAAAAGATAAATTGACTTGCAAGAAACTCACCCAGCTCGATTTTCAAATGACTAGCAGTAATGAATACAGCTGTGAGCAAGATGTAGCCTAGAAGTACAGCCATTGGCTGTTTTCTAAAAAGGAGAAATTGATTTAATTCCATACCACATAAACCCACATTTTTGAAGATTGGGGATTTTGCCACATATAATAAATTGGTTTAATTACATTCCACATAAACCTTCATTGTTAAAGATTGAGGATTCTGCTGCACATAATCAATTCATTCTAGTACAAACGCCCAGATATGCATTTGCACTAAGGCCACTTTACTTCATGCTGTTGATAAATAGCAAATATAATGATTGCTTAACTGATATTGAGAGGATCACTGTAGTCCAGTGGCATTGAGCCAGTGCCGCAATGTCTGCATTTCCTTTCTCCCACCTGCCAACATAGGGTACCTATGGGAATGTCTGTTGTTTACCTCTAGCTACTAGAACACCTTTGTAGGCCCTTTGACAGCATGATCTAGTGCAACTCTACACTGGGTGCTCCTCAGCCAAGTCTATAGCTAAAATATCAATTTCTCGTGTTATGAGCCTTTTTTAACTCCTAATCTCCTAATGCCCATTCTTTCACTTTCACATTAAGGTGTTTTGTAAACATGTTGATATGTCTTGCCTTTCCCTCACATTACCGCTCTGTTTTTTTCTGAAATAAGTGTTAGCACCAGAAGAATTTTTGAGAAAACAATAAGGACAGCACATTTTTTTAGTATTAACTAATTTTTGCTAGACCTACTGTTATCCGGTAGTGGTGTAAAATCCTGATTAATCAGTTAACCGGTTAAATGTTAGGTTAGTCTCCACTGGTTAACCAGAACCAGTAAGCATCATCAGTTAACCTTTCATCATTCCTGTTATTTTGTTCCCTGTTCCTCGTCTCCTTTCTTAGGTAAACAGTCCCAGTCTTCTCAGTCTCTTTGTATTTGTTTGCACTATGTGATAGCTTCAGACCAATGTGCTGCATCTACCACAGTTTTCCTGTAGTATGGTTTGTATGTTGTGAGGGATGTCACAAGCTTTGGTGTTCATTAAGGTAAAGGTCATTTGAGAGTTTTTCTACTTTTTTTAAAGTCCTAGTTTATGGATGTGATGTCACAACCATGTGATACGACTGTCTCTTGAATCATCTTTTAACTGCAAAAGGACATATTTTGCTAATCTAAAGACTTTTATATCATGACTTTCTTCCTTCAAAACTTCTGTTGACTTTTGAGTGTCTCCTTTTAGGCCCTAATTCCTTTTATCTTTACTCAGGGCCCCACTGTCTGTAGGAATAATTAATGGAGGGGAAGGAAACTCAGTTAGTTTCATTTTGTGGAGTTTCTTTTTCTTTCCTCGGGGCCAAATGGTTTTGCTCCTTCAGACTTTGGACCTTCACAGGGGGGGGGAGCTACCAGAATCAGGAATCTTTCTTGCCTGTCTTCTACAATCCAGCACTGTTATTTCTTCATGGACCCTTTAGGAGCCATTGGTCCAAGGGTTCCCCAACTGAAATTGCCTCCTGTACCTTTCAACGGGGTGGCTCATATAAAAAGGGGGAACTCAGTAATATCTCAGGTATTGCACTGTATTTGCTTTGCCTTTCCGTGAGCGTTAGAGAATGAAAAGGAGCCCAGCTCAGGACCCAAAGTTGATATTGATGGGAGAATGGGATAGAGATGTGAATGACTAGTCAACTATCTGATAAGCAAATGTGCCATGTGGAGCCTGGGGCCAGACCCTGGGCTCCATGTGGTGCTACCACTTTGAAATGCTGGTCCTGGGCTGCATGTGGCATTTCAAAGTGGCAGTGCTGTGTGGAGCCTGGGGGTCTGCCGCTTTGAAACACCACATGCAGCCCAAGGCTAGCAGGGAAGTCCCAAGCTGGCCGTGGGTTCCATGCGGTACTGCCGCTTTGAAACACCACAGAGAACACGAGGTTAGCGGGGGACTGTTTGAGTCCCCCACTGGCCCCATGCTCCCCACAGCACTTTACCCTTTGAAGTGTAGTAATAGCCCTTGGGCTGTTGCTACACTTCAAAGGTGGCGGTGCCCTTATCGACAAATCAAATAGTCGATGCAAATTGCATCGACTATTCGATTAGCCAATTAATCTAAATTTAACATCCCTAGAATGGGGCCCTCTGTTCTTACCTGCAGAAAACTTTCACTGATGTTAACTGAAATTTTTCCTGAACAAGGACTGACTCAAAAGTGAGTAATGACTTCAGGATTTGGCCCTCTGAGAAGTCGTGTTGTTGAGAGTGGGGAATTGTTCAACTGTGAGTTTTCATTGCTTCAGACGAACCTCTCTTCCAAAGAAGACAGAATGTAACAGATTTAGAAACAATTTTTGGAAACCAGAAATGCAAAGAATTCTACCCTATCTTTTGTATAATCTATTCATTCAAATTCCAATTTCCATTGAAAACTATGTTGTATTAAGCCTTCAGGCAGAGTTGAAGGGAACCTGAAAACAAGATATGATCTCATCTTGACCATACTAAACCGCATAATACGAGACTTCCCTTTTTTTACACTGAACTTGTGGGCAATGGGCCACATTTGTCTTTCCATTTTTGAATTGTCCATTTCAATGCTGCCATCTTGTGGGCTAAATTGTTTGAAAGATGCTGACATTGTTTGCTATTAAACCTATGAACTGTTTAATTGCCAAAAAGCTTTTCCTACAGAGTTGTATGCTGTGTTGTTATAGCCAGGTTGGTCCCAAATCTTTTCATTTGTATTTTTAACTTGTTGTTGTTGTTACTCAAATTTTATTGTGCACTATTATACAGATCAAAATGTTTTGGCATGAGCAAGTAGCAAAAATTTCTGACAATTGGAACAGACTCTTCTTTGAGCCACAACTCTTATAACAAAAGTTATTTGATAATGTCTAGAAGAGGAGATGAGTTAATCAGATCACATAAATTCAAAGGCTGTGTCTACACTGGCATGAATTTCCGGAAATGCTTAAAACGGAATACTATTCCGTTTTCAGTTTTTCCAGAAAAGGAGCGTCTACATTGGCAGGCTGCTTTTCCGAAAAAGCCCTTTTTCCGGAAAAGCGTCTGTGGCCAATGTAGACGCGCTTTTCCGGAAAAGAGCCCCGATCGCCATTTTCACTATCGGGGCTTTTTTCCGGAAAAGACTACTGGGCTGTCTACACTGGCCCTTTTCCAGAACAGTGTTCCGGAATAAGGACTTATGCCCGAGCGGGAGCAGAATAGTTTTTCCGGAATAGTGGCTGATTTTGTACAGTAGAGCATCATTGCTTTTCTGGAAATTCAAGGGCCAGTGTAGACAGCTCGCAGCTTATTCCGGAAAAGCGGCTGATTTTCCGGAATAAGTGGCCCAGTGTAGACACAGCCAAAGTGAATAAATTCTTTCTATCTATCTATCTATCTATCTATCTATCTATCTATCTATCTATCTATCTATCTATCTATCTATATCAGAACAGCTAAAAACCTCATACCAGTTCTGTAGCTCTCTTCAGAGGCATAGATAAATCCTTGAATTTTTGATGAATTAACCAAACCAAATCTCCATGCAGTTCACTCATCACTAATTAAGAAATTCTCATTTTGTGGCTTTGGCATATGACTCTCAAGTACATTTTTAATACAAATATCATTATGAATAATAATGTGGGTAGGCAGAGAGTTGGCAGTTACCATGTATATGCTGTTGAAATAAATCATTCTTGCATTTTAATGTAAAGCCATTGGCATAACTATCTGTAGGGCTTAACTGGCCTAAGATATTACTACACTACGAGTTAGGGGTGTGATTCCCATGCTTGTGTATACAGTACAGGAAGCCAGCATAAGTATAAATAGCAATGTAGCCACCAATGTACTTGCCATGCCTCCACCAGTGCCATCGGGGTTTCATTGCTATTTATTCTCATGCTAGCTCACTGAGGAGTACCGAAAAATCAAATTACACCCCTAGCTTGTAATCCCCTCATCAAATCACATCCCTAGCTTCTAATGTAAATGTTGCCTACAAAGCCCTGTGTCGGTGCATGTGGAAGAACCATGCTGCAGCTGGATTCCCAGGTGGAACTGTGCAGCAGGTGCTCCATCACCCTATCCTCCACATTTCATGGAGCCTATGCTGCTTACTGGTCTCTCATCCCAGTCCTTTTGTTGAAGAGACTAGCACCAACACATAGATCAGTGGATTTATTCCCCAGCCACATTGTGGTTGGCTCTTTTAAATGAGCAAGGTTCCTTGCTATAGTCTGACCCATAAAAACAGGAGAAAATAGCTACATAATTATTGGCATTAACTCACTACTTAAGCCAGTGGTCCCCAATGCGGTGCCCGCAGGCGCCATGGCGCCCGCCGGGACATTTATGTATGCCCACCTAGCGCCTCCCCCGGGCATATATGCAGCCCCCGAGTACCCGGCAAATGCGTGGTGCTGTCCTGGGCACATGGCGCATGCGCGGTCCCTGCTCCTGGGCGGCCCAGCAGCCCCGTGCGGTGCCTGCCACCCAAACATCTCAGAAACCCCAGCTATTTCACAGAAATTCTGATCTGTAGGGGCTTCTCAGAATATCTAGTAGAAATGGTTACTCCATCAGCTATTCAAGGTAGGTGGTTGTTGTTGCTTAAATAAAAAAATCAAAGTTATATTGATAAATTATATCATTTTTCTTGCTTCATCTTGCCATGTTCCTGCAGGGTTGCCAGCATATGGTTTCAACTGTGGATTTGGCTGGGGATCCCACAAAACTTTGTGCCACTGGGAACACGACAGCCAAGTGGATTTAAAGTGGTCAGTTCTGACTAGCAAAACCGGGCCTATTCAAGACCATTCAGGTAATCCTGAGTTCATGATGAAATCACTTTTAATGGAAAATGGATATTTGTTTAGTGCCAGAGAATCTTCCAGACTGTATGACTTTGTTGTATCAAGCGAAGTAACCTACATTCTAAAACATGTCTTTTCAGGAAGGCTGTGGCCTACTTAACCCAAGCCATGACTTACACTCATGGTCTCCAGAGTATGATACTGCCTCCCAAAAGCAGTGTACCTTTTTTATAGGAAATGAAGACAATAATCACTCCCAATTCCCCCAGATGATAACTTACCTATGGGGCACTAAGATGTCAAGTGACTACAGCAATACTCTCCCATCCAGTCACTCACCTGTAATTGCTATTTGACACCTTATATAATCATGAATGAATACTTAGGCATTCTTGTTAATATTTATGGGTATATATCTACCAGAGGAGCCATATGTAAGATATAATTGTAACTTCCAAGGCTTCTTCAAACATCCACCCACCTCAAATGGTATCCCCCCTCCACACATGTGGTTCCTCCAAGCAATAACACTCAAGGAACTGATTGGCTGGTGCTAAGAAACCGTTTTCCAAGAAGTGTCTCCTTACTTGAGTTTCAGCCTAGCAGGGTAAAGAATACACACATGAGCACCAGAGAAGGGAGGGCATTTCATGACCTGCCCATCTTTAGTTTTAGTGTTCTCTTTTTATATGTGTAGACTAATTAAATGTACTCACAATGAATTCTCCCTTTCCACTTTTGCAGCCCCTTTGCCTAATGAGAATGACAAGGAAATTAGATAAAATTGGACTCCTTAAATTCTGAGACACTTTCAATTGAATCTTGAGACAAGTACTGTAGTTTTAGAAAAAAAACTTAAAATACTTTGACTATAAATGGCACTGTACAAATAAATGGCATCAAATTAACTATACGCAGTTAACTGAAATGAAGGCTGTAATGGTAGAAAAATTGATGCAAAGTAAAGTTAAATGGCTCAGTAAGATCTGACATTGAAAGGAGGTTAAAAGCTACGTTAGCCAGAGACTGACAAAATCTAAAAGGCATGCATAAGTAAAGCTCTAATTAAGACAACGAAGACAGAGTTCCTGACCCAGCACTACAATAATATTCTGGAAATGAGAAATATATGCACTTTGCTACCAAAGATTATGGAGGCTAAACTTGTCTTCAGTCTAGAGCTGAAAAAATGATATTTCTTAAATGAGATTGTGTTATTTCCACCAAATTCTGCTATTACAGAGACTTTTTTATTTCCAGTAGCTAGCCTTGAGAAGTTTCCATGTTGGTGTCCTGAAGGCCATTTCCCTCCCTCCTACTGCATCACAAAAAAAGATTTCCTACATTTCCTTTCTGACTCATAGGTGGTTTCCCCCCTGCCTTGCTTGCCATCTAGTAAGCAGCAGCTACAAAATGGTTATGTAGGCAGATTACTATCGAGCAGTGTAGCTCCACAGAACTACAGTGCTCAACAAAGCTGATCAGTATCTGAAGTCACAAAGTTAGGCAATGTTTATTCTAGAGATCTTTATATATTGTGAGAGAAATGTTTGGCCATTTTGAGTCACATTCTGCTCTCATTTTCACATGTATATATCTGGAGTAACTCCACTGAAGTTATTTTCACTTCAGGAGCCCCCACCCTGAAGCAAATGTTTTAAGACTGCAAGGCCATGACTTCAGCATACACATGTAGTATGTGAGCCTCATCTGAATAAGTCTTTGAACCTCCATATTATATTTTGGACTGACTTGGTTTTCCCAACCTAGTCATTATTTTAACTCTTTAGTCATTTCCCTTCACTACCTCCCTTGCCCTCCCCCCCCCAATCTAGGGTTTCCTTATCACCACCCTATAGACATACTTGCACATGTATATGTTGCAGTTTGAACAGAAGGGAGGACTGGGAAGAACATTCAGACACAGAAATCTTTGCCTGGGAAGCTTAACAGCACGTCACTGCAGTGAGAATGACTCACATTATTTTCTTATGGTTCATCCTGGCTCCTGTGCAGAGCTCTTCCAAAGCTCATTCGGTGGTACATCCCCTTTACACTGGGTATCTGACTGAACACTGATGAATCTATCAAAGTAGAAACACCTCTTTGTCCATTAGAAAGACCAGTTCTCTCCCTGCCAGGGGCGGCCTGTGAGCCTAAGCAAACTAGGCAGTTGCCTAGAGCGCCACTGGTCCGGGCACCTGATGATGACATCATGGCCATGCAGGCGGGAGCACCGATCGCACTGCCCGCCTGGGGCACCAGCTGCTGCAGCCAACCTCTGGCCACTCCTGCTCTATGTAATTGTCTTTAGCCCCTGCTTCTCACTCTGCTCTTCCTTCTTCCTGGTTCAGCTTTTATTGTCTCCTCCCTCGCATATTTCCAAGAGTGGAGTGGCACAACTGGTCTGCCCCCATTGGACCAGTTTGGAATTACATTACAACAAATCAACAAAACACTCAGTTGCTACAACCTTAGAATTATTTTCTTATGTTTAAAAACCAGAACTGTGCTCAGGCACAGATTACCTAATGACAGGTGTTATTAACAGGTGTTAAACCTGTTGTTGTTCCTTTTCTCCCTCCTATATTCAAAATCACTTTGTATTAGTGAGAGTAAAATGCCACTTGCATCTCTTCAATGTTGAGAACTTCATCTGCAATCACAATGCATTGTTACCTGATTTCAGGATGTGTTTTATTGTCCTGCCACCTGAGACATTTGTAGGAATCTATTTTAGAGGTTTAAGGATGATGAATCAGATCCTCGGTTGGTGTAAATGGATATAACATGACTGACATCCATAGAGATTTTCTGATTCACACCAGATGAAGGTCTGATCTGATAACTGTGTATGTGTATAGACTAATTGTTGTTGGATGGAAATTTAAATTCTTTGTTGGTTGGACATTACAAGAAACATACTGGTAAAATTTTGTTACTGCAACTGAACAAAATTTATACGTTCTCCTCCCTTAATGTCATTAAGACTGGGATTCGTAAAGAAGCATAAGAGTACGTCTACACTATACGATAAGGTAAAATTAAAATATGCAACTTCAGCTACATTAATTACGTAGCTAAAGTCAAAGTACCTTAACTTGACTTTTGGCACTGTCCACACTGCAGGAAGTCAAAGGGAGCACATTCTATCTTCACCTTCCCTTATTTTTCATGGAAGCAGGACTACTGGCATCGACTGGAAAACCCTTCTCAGTTCAAATTAGTGTGTCTTCACTAGACCCACTAATTCAAACCCTGGAAGATTGACAGCGGCAGCTTCAATCTTCTCTGTAGTGTAGACATACCGTAAGTGAGTAAGGCACCGAAATCCTAAAACAACTAACTCACTTGCACTCTTTGGAAATCCCAGCCACATTTTTGATATTTTGTAAGACTATCTTACACAAATATATTCAACCAAAATGCATCCCTGCAATCAACCAAGTAATTAGAGAAATCAATTTGTCAAAACATTATTTATTGTGGATTCAGCTTTACATTGAATCATTTCTGCAGTAATGTTTGTATTTCAGTTCCTGATGTCTATCAATAGTTATTCAAAATGATTTTATACTTCCATGTTTGTCCCATCTTAAAAAAAAACCTGCAACGTTTTTTAAAAAGTAGCCATTCACACAGTAAATGTAGGGCAAGCCAAGACATACTTATTCCTAGCCCTAGCACTATGGATATTTCTTGTTAGTAGGCACACACTGAAATACAAAACACTCGTTGTAATAAGCCATGTTTTAATTTCCTTTTCTGAACAATTGCGAGTGACCTCTGCATGCCTCAGCAGTGAAAATCAACCATGGTGCTATGGTTCAGTTCACTATCAGACTTACTCATCATGGTGAATTACAGAAAGTCATCAGCAGTGATTTACAACTAACAAATATTGCTACTGCATTTTTTAAAATTCCTGACAGAATTACTCTGTCTAGCTCAACACTGTGAGTCTTGACAGATAAATGTGGAAGAGGACAGAATGATTTGGAATATTGTGGTTTGTTAGACTAACAAAAAATGAAAGTTGGTCACTGTTTCTAATACAGTGTTATTGTGACACAGGCGATGGCAATTTCATTTACTCACAAGCTGACGAAAACCAGAAAGGCAAGGTTGCACGGCTGCTAAGCCCTCTGATTTACTCTCAGAACTCTGCACACTGCATGACTTTCTGGTATCATATGTCTGGGCCCCATGTTGGCACCCTGAAGATCAAATTGAGATACCAAAAGCCAGATGAATATGATCAGGTTCTGTGGACACTGAGTGGACATCAAGGGAACTGCTGGAAAGAAGGACGCGTCCTTCTTCACAAGTCTGTGAAACATTATCAGGTAAGATTGGTTGGATTTGTTCTGGGGTAACAAAGCCAAGGTCTGAGAGACTGTGCTGGCTATATTTCATATGAGAGAGTAGAAAATGTCAAGGATCAATTTTTGTAGATAGTATTGTAGCTGCATATGGGATGTTATTGCTGTGACAATAATAATAGTGGCATAGTTCATGGGATTCTAGAAGACAGTGAAACAAGCAATTTGTTGCAGAAGGCAAGATGAACTGCTTTACAATTCATCTGTCACCTTTTGTAAACCTTCAGACTCACTAAGTCTATTGTTCACTTAGAAAAGGTGTGAAATTACATAATGCAATATTGTCATTCAACAAATATTGACTAAAAACAAGCAAAGTGTATGCACGTGTGACATCATGTGAATTTAAGCTTGATGCTTTTTTAAAATACTAATTGAGAATTCCTGAACATGGTTACTGGGCATTTATACTAATGCCAATGTGAAATTATCTGATTTTGTCAGGTTGTTGTCGAGGGAGAAATTGGAAAAGGACATGGAGGAATTGCTGTAGATGACATTGATATTGACAACCGTATAGCACAAGAGAATTGCCAAAGTAAGTATAACTAGCGGGAAACCACAAAAGTCTCATCCAGAACACTGTTCATTCTGCTCTAATGGCTGTTGTTTTGCTAAAAAAAGGGTTATATCATGCAACTGATTTCTTTATTGAATATAGTGAGATTTTTGCACTCTAAACAAGGTTATGATGTAGCCTACTGCCTCAGTCTTTACTTAGGCAAAACTCCCAATAAATTCAAGGATGGCAGGATCAGCAGCAAGATGGTACATGCCTCCATCTTGGATAGACTAATTCTGAAATACCAACATCAAACGATACAATCATACAATCAAACCATACAACCAAAGAAGGGGAGAACAACCATACAATCAAAGAAGACAGAAATTAAAAGGCATTTTAGATCATCATGCTAATATTTTGGGCCCTTTTGTTCTTATTCTTATTGCTGTTCAGAATTCTAGTCGTTTTAGTATGATCAGTGAATTTCATGAACATGCTGTTTACTCCTTCTTCTAACTCATCAGTTCATATATTGTAAAGACTGATTCTCACAGTGATCCCAGTCCAGCCCTACTAATCATCTTCCCTAAAGCTTAATGCATTTTCATTCCAATTTATTTATAGTATTTTAGTCAGTTTTCAAAACACATACTTAATGTTCCTGCCAATGCCATTATGAATTAATATTTATGATAAGATTTTGCAAAGCACTGTACCATATGCTTTATGAAAATCAAGATATATCACATCTGTCTTGGCCCTTTCAATTGCTAAATCTATAAGTCAGCAGTGGTTGTACCCAGTTCCTCTAACTACCTCCTTTTAGAGGTGTGGAATATTGAGTGATGTAAGAACATAGCACATTCAACCTCTTGGTGGGATAAGAGGATAGTTATATCTGGGAGCCTCTGGACAATTCAGACCTTTAATTCCTGATCAGTCTTTAGATAATCCATTCATTAATAATTCCATGGATAGAGCATTCTGAAGTTACTCTGGCTGCAATTCCAGCTGCCCCCATGTTGTTGTCTTAAAGAGCCTTAAGTAATTGCTCTACCCATAGGGGATGGGGCATAGAACCCCAGACCTTGAGCCCCAACATCTGTCATTTGAGCTAACACCATAAACTACAGTAGGCTCTTCTCCTCTGTGTCTATTAGCAGGGGACAAAACTCAGTCAGCATGTTAGACATACATGCGGTAGATTCACTGTGGCTTCATTTCAAGAGGATGGGGCAGGATTTGAGGAGCTATGTACTCCCAAACTAGTGTGGAATCCAGTTGTGTGAGACATGCTGCACAGTGTCATGCATTGTTGTTTGGGACAAACCAGCAACTTCCCCCATGTTAGGCAGTACACTAGAACAATAAAGCCAAGCTGCACAGCAGCTCCTATCTCACACTGTAGGCTTAGGGAGGATAAATCCCTAGTTCCCTGAATATACACACAGTTTAGTTATTCAAGTTGGATGCTGGTCAAGTGATTTGGATCTTTGAGTTCAAATCAAGAGCCTGATCCTGAAGCCCTTCTGCACACAAGTAGTCCCTCTGCAGTCAGTGGAACTACTCGTGTGATTAAGTATTACTTCTCTGATTAAGGGTTGAAGAATTGGACACCAAAATTGTAAATACGATGAATGAGATGCTAATTTCTCATACTGATTTCTCTTTCCCAGACATAGAAAACCCCTGCTGATAACTCTAAAACTGTGCCAAGATTGGGCGGAGGGGAGTTTTTAAACCTTTCTTTTTCCTCCGTTAATTTTCAGAACCCATCGTAATGAACAGCTCTGTCAAGCTGACATAATGATACTCTGACACAGAAAAATCTGTAATACCATTATTGCCAGCATGAGAGTCAATCAGTGTTTGTAACCCTAATAATCAATGTCATTTCTCTTTGCTTCATTAGAATCAACTGATGTGGAGAATGAAATAGATGAAGAAGACTCAGAAATTAATCAAACAGGTAAAAATGGTCTTGTTAAAGTGGAATAAATTAAAAGACATATTTTCATGTGAATTTGAATATTATCATCCTATTTCACTAAATTAAATTCTATAATCATATACAGTATTGAATATTTATGATTTATCTGTAGATGCCATTTATATTTTGCATAATATAAAATATACCTAATACATTTAAAGAGGTTTTAAATAAGTATAAATAATAAAAGTACGTAAGATTGTAAAGAACAGTAGCATAAAGTGGTACATCTCTCATTCTAAAGCTCACAATATCACGATATAATGCAAGCCTGGTTAGAATTTTCCTGTGTATAAGCGTTCTCTAATGCAGTAGGAAATAATATAATTTATGTTCATGCCATACACAGGTAATTAGGCTCAAAAACTCTCCTGGTTACTAACTTCTTTCAGTGCACTGAAAATGTAACTTTATGACCAATCTCCCAAAGCAGTACAGTTTTCTTCAGCAGTAATAATGATAGTTCTAAATCTGTTGATCCCTCAACATATTTATTAAAGGTATCATAAGTGCCATATTATCCTGATAATAGATAGCCCCAATATGCTCATATTTTGCAGTCAAAGAGACTAACCTACTTCCACTGAATTCAATAAAAGTGTTACTATTGATTGAAATAATGGAAGCAAGATTAACCCAGAGATCTTTCAGTTTTTATGATAAAGTTAGTAGGTTTTATAGACCCATCATATCTCTGTGATAAATCCAGATAGAGATGGGGAAAGTCGCTGTGCCATTAACTGAATATTTTACTTAAGGAAGCAGAACAAATTCCCCTGCCAAGTGCTTTTTCTCTGGTACCTGTCTCAGAGCCTGATTCTGATCTCTGGAAGCCAAAGTAGTTGAATTTTATAAAGTGACAAAATACTGATGAAAGGGTCCAAGAGAACACTATCTTCTTGACACTGGATACCAGTAACACCCACTGCCTCACTCAAATTTTGAGGGAGAAAAATAAGACTCTCGGAACGTCCACACAGCAGGGCAAAAGTCGAATTAAGCTACAGAACTTCAGCTATGTCAATTGCGTAGCTGAAGTTGAAATGGCTTAATTTGGCTGTTGGCGCTGTCTACGCAGCAGGAAGTCGAAGGAAGAGCACTCTTCTTTCAACTTCCCTTACTCCTTGTGAAATGAGGGTGACAGGAGGTAAAGTAAAAAGTCCTCCAGCTCGCCATTATTTTGAAATAATGGCTTGCAGTGTAGACCCTCTCTTTGTTACTTAGGAATAATGTCAGTTATTCCAAAATAATGCTGCTGTGTAGATGTACCCTCAATGAGCAATAGCAAACTCAGAGATAAAGAGTACAACTTGAAATAGTATCAACCAGGGCCATTTTGTAGATTTTACCTTAAAATTATTGTCCCAAAGAAGTCGAGTTTTCAAACTATTCATTGAGTTTTGTCAAAATCTAGATATTCTTCCTCCAACCCTCACTTCTATTCTCAAAATAACCAGTGCATTCTAAGCCTCATTATTATATTCAGTCCTGGAATTATTTATTCTATTTCAGGGTTTACTCCTCAGAATCCTGAGAATGAAGACCACTACAATGATAATGTCGCCAGGAAGCAAGGCAATGTGCTGAAGACCCTAGATCCCATTCTTATTACTATTATAGCCATGAGTGCATTAGGGGTACTTTTAGGAGCCATCTGCGGAGTGGTCTTATATTGTGCTTGTTGGCACAATGGAATGTCAGACAGAAACTTATCTGCACTGGAGAATTACAATTTTGAACTTGTGGATGGTGTAAAATTAAAAAAAGATAAACTAAACACACAGAATTCTTATTCGGAAGCATGAAAGTAAAAAGTGACTTAAGAAGTTTCAAGAGAATTGGAATGGAAGGACATATCTTGATTGTGCTGGGGAACTGTCTATCTTCTTTTACTGTATAGGCTGAAAAGTGCGTTGACGCTGAGCCAAGCTTTTCTCAGGAGCTTCAATGAGTGTAACTGATAAACATGGACAATAATCTGTGTTAATCTGAATCATGTACAGTCTGCTTTTCCTGTTGGTTTTATTTGGAATAATCAAATGCTGGTGTTGAGACCAAGTATGATTGACTTATAGTTCATTTTGTCTTTCTTTTTTTCCTTCTCTCTTGTTTTTCTTTTATGGGTAGTTTTATTTTTATTGTACAAAATCCAAGATGCTGTCACAAAGTGTATTCAGTGGGGTCCTTTTGGTGGACATGCTGTCTGTAGCTCAGTGCCCCGAAAATATTGGAGTAATGGCAATTTAGTGGACTCCTGCACCCGTATTTTGTGTATAATTGCTCGTGTTGTGCGTAGGCAAAGAAGGGGTAGGGTGTTTTTGAAAAGTACTATAGCATCAGTACTGATATAGTGTGTCAGCTCTGTTTATGAAGCAATACGGTCAAATTTGATTGATGTTTTTCAGTGTTGTACTAAACTTTGTGCTTGTGAATTCCATACAAGAATATGTGCCATCATCAGACACAACTGGCAACCGAGTGTACTGCCTAGAATCTAAACAAAAAGTCCGTGGCACTGGCTAGTGTATGTCCTCTCAAGTGCCTTTTTGTTTGTACTGCTTCTCATTGTGTTAACATTAACTACAGCGCTGTTTCCCTCCAGCTAAAGCCCTTGTCTTTAATCATACTCTGGTGGCTCACTGACTAAAAAGAAAGTATATTTTAGTGTAGAAAGTAGCCTCAGAAAGGCAAGGGCTAATCATATTTGGCAACTTAGCTTGATTGTTCTGCTTTCTGTATTTCAATTTCATGTCTCTTGACCCTTTTGTATAAAGCTGCAATATTCCCTTTTATCATTCTTTCATATAGAATGTATTTTCAAATGTAAGCTCTCTCTCTCTCTCTCTCTCTCTCTCTTTTTCTCTGAGTAGATTGCATAAGCATTTGCCATTGTAAAGGAAAGAAAATTGCAGCTTTAAAACTTGCTGGTAATGGCAAAGGATTTTACTAGACTTTGTGTTAAAAAAACATAAGGGAAAAATTTAACTCTCCAAAGTCGAGCTTTGGGTTTCTTGTTAACAGCATAAAGTGACAGTATCCTTTTTCCTTAGTCATGAAATATGTCTTTTACCCAATCCAAGATGCCTATTAATAGACAGTTAAGTTGGGGAAATGATTAAGAATGTCTTAATTGAAAGACCACCCCCAAAACAAGAAACATTCCTCTCCCTAGGTTCTAATCTCCCCTTGAAGTGGGTGTATGTATTTGTGCTAATCAGAGTTATTCATGGATACTGAGGGCAAATAAGATCCCACACTGTACATAGAACATGAGAACTTAGACCAGGTTATATCAAATAGTGTCTAGGATCTTTTGGCTATTGGCTACAAGTAAGTAAGCAACACTCTTTATAGTGCACACAGCTTTCTGGTAGCCTCATCTGTTTGGAAGTAGTGATAGATACAGCTGGTTGAATAATGTAAAAAAATATTCACAAAACTGTTCTGCAATTAATAGCAACTTATACAGCTGGTCCAAGAAGATACAAAGAAATTTGTTATTGAGGGCAAGATTGGCACTGCTCTTCAGTATCCAGGTAGGGGAGTAAGGCAAGCAAATACCATCCTCATAGCCCGTTCATGGCTGGGCTAATCACCATTCCTGATAGAAGTGGGCAAGCTCTTCCTCACAAGTAAGTGTATGAAGAGTGGTGAGGAGGAGTGGCAGTGGGCAGAACTTTGATTTGATATTCCCTTAATGTACCATCCAGTGGAGATATTTCAACACGAAGTGTGGGGAGAAGTGAGTGCCAGTAAAGCACTGCAGTAATTTGCTTCCTCCTTGGAGCAAAGTGGAACCAGGGAAAGAATTGTGAATTTTATGACCTGTATTTCTTTCCCAATGCTGCTTCTACAGGGCAGCTATGCAGTATCTCCATGTCTGTACTAAGTAGGGCCTCAATCTAACCCTGAATAATCTAAGTGATAGATTTAATCAATATTCATCAGATATATGGTTCCAAGTATATTATTCAACCAGTCTTAATGAGATCCCAGAAAGTCTTGCAGAAAATCCATGAGTATCCTGGTAACAGGGCAGTGGGGATGAGAAAATATAAGTATTTTATGATCAGACAAAGTAAAAAAAAAAAAAACCCCTATTAGTTACTCATGCTATGAACTCCTTTAGGAACATACAAAAGGCAGAAAGCCCTCAAAAGGTAGAGACTTAGGGTGAAATCCTGTCCGTCAAATTACTGGCAAAGCTCCCACAGATTCCAGTGGGGCCAGGATTGTTACCTGTCATGTCCAACTCATATGGTGAAATCTAACCATATTGGTATCAAGGCAGCTAGTTAATTATCCAAAGAAGATGTTTTTCAAAATTGTTCTCACTGTACTTGCATCAAAGTAGTGCAATCTGATTGCATTAGGGTCTGCTCTTCCTTAGATAAGAACACGTACATTCCATTAACTCACATGCGTGTATCTCCTTATAGAAGAAATCCAAATTTGGGGAGCCTGATCCAGTCCACTTATTTCAATGGATCTTGATTCAACTCCTGATCTTGGTCTAATCTGAATGAAAAAACTGGTTAAGAAACAAAAAATGTATATAGTTCCCTTGTGGTATCCAGCCCTCATTATCAAAATAAGAATATAGCACTGATGATTTGATTTCTCTGAAGGGGATGGAATGAAAATTGCCCTTCGATAAAGGAAAAATGATACTGCAACTTTACATTGAAAAAGTATCTTGCACTGATAAATATATTTAAAAATTATATGTTTATAAAGTTATTAATTTGTAAAGGCAGTGTTACAAAATGTTCAGTTTATATTGTTTTAGATTGTTTCATAATTTTAAAGTGTAAAATAACATATTTTTTCTTTATTGAAAAACTATAAAAATCTGTAGTAAAATGATTTCATTTTACTGGTATATTATTCCTTCATGTTTTGTACCATCATAAAATTTTGTGCAAATTTTTTTTACAGAAATTTTTATTTTCTATGACAATATGACACTTGTAAATTGTTGTTTTAAAATGAACAGTGAAGCCTTAACTTTAAATTACATTTGTATTCTCAGTCACTGAGTAGCGTAAAAACCACATAGAACTGAACTGTAACTTAAAATTTCCAACCTATGACTACTACATTCCAAAGAAACAGTTGAATTAAACATTTTCATAAAATATCTCATATCTGGTGCCTTTTATTATGCCTAAAAGGATTGCTTTTTTAAAAGAGCTTCTTTTTCATATCTTGTAACAAGCACAAGTCTCATTTGCTAGGAGAGAATCTTATTGCTTTGAATAAAATGATGAGACACAGGGTACGTGTACAAGCAGTGTTATTTCAGAATAACTAATATTATTCTGAAATAACAAAATGTGTGTCTATGCTACAACACTTTATTTTGAAATAATGTCAAGCTGGAGAACTTCTTGCGCTGACTCATAGTAACCTTCATTTCATGAGGAGTAAGGAAAGTCAAAGGAAGAGTGTTCTTCCTTCTACTTCCTGCTGTGTAAATAGCACCAAAGCCGAATTAAGTAGAGCCCCAGAGCTGCCACCGGAATGAAATCAATCCCTTTGCAGAAATCCAGCATAGGGAATACACTACTAAAGGTCTATCGCCTTGGTTCTGCAGTCTAATTTGTGCAGGTGATCCAGTCACCCAGTGCAGAATTCCATTGAACTCTCTGGTCCTGCCCACGTGCAGCGTTCTGCACAGATTGCAGAATCAAGACCTAAGGGATTATTAATTGAAATGCAGATTACTTACATGAGTAAAGGTTTCAAGAGCAGGCTTTCAGGGCGGTGACATACATGCATCCCCAACAGCGACAGAGGAGAGCAGAGAGAGAGTAATAGGCAGGAGGGGGAGAAGAGAAAGGGAGAGATGGAGTGGAGAGAGAGTGAGAGACTGAAGGAGGAGGAGAAGAGAAAGGGAGAGTGAGAGGCAGGAAGGGGAGAAGAGAAAGAGAGAGACGGAGAGAGAGGCAGAAAGCGGAAGACAGCTGACAGAAAGGAGGGGAAGCAGTAGACGGAGAGAGAGAGAGAGAGAGAGACAGAGAAAGAGACCGGAGGCTCAGGAGAGAAGACCGATGTGGAAGAGAGACCTGAAAATTCCATCTTATGATGGGCTAATTGGTTAGTTATCTTTACTTACCCACATTTTTCCTTTTAATTTTGATGCATGTCACTTTGAAACTTTCTAAAAAGCCCTATTCTTAAGTGCCTAAATAAACAAGTCCATGGTCTTCACTTGTTTCTATACATTTATATTTATGTACTTTACCACCACAGGTGGACAACATGGTAACATGGGCCTGTGGTAACC